ACACCTCTCTCTGGGCAGGTTATTAACACCTCCTAGCTCAAATTATGCAAATGCAATCAACACCTGGTTGTGACTAACAGATTATGTGGATTGAAGCAACATCCATCATATTTATTTCCAGATAATTTTTTGTACAGGTCATTCTTAATTGAGAAAGCTGATTGGATGACCAGTGACATGTCTTCAAGAAAAATACAGCACGTCCAGTTGTCTCGACTTATTTTTTTACAGATTTAGGTGTTCATGGTTTGCTTCTATCCTGCTGAGCACACTAAAGGAGCCATGCAAAAAGCAGCAGTCCTGTTGCTCCCCCACCTGCATACCCCTGACATTTATAGAACAACGCTGTGTGTTTTACAAATGTAGTTTGGGCTTTCTTTGCTTCAAGGTTCTGCAGCAAGCAAAGGCACTTTCATTTTAATGAGCAGGAAAAAAAAAGTCTGCTGAGAGAATGAGGAAACCTGTCACCTGACATTGAAACAGGTCATGTGACAGCACCCTCCAGAGAATATACCACAGGACATTGGAGGGTACATGTGCCCTGCAATTTATAAATAATACATAAAATTCCAGTGCAGTTGAATGTTGACATTTTCAGTGAACTGAAAGAAAAGAAGAACTCTGGGCAAAACTTTTATTAACCCTTGCAGCAGGGCTACCCCCGCACTGCAAGTGTTAACTTCTCATTTTTGTCTAGGTGATAAAATTAAAATGTTATACTCACCGATCCTTAGAACTGGTTTGCTCTTAGACCGGTCCTTCTAGCCTCGCTTCTCCTGCGCTGCATCGATCTAAGGATCCTCAATCATCACGTCCAATAAACTAGGTATTGGACGTGAGGACGCAGAGGGACATACCATTGCTGCAGCGTAGGAAGAAACAGGCTGGAGGGAATGCTGTGACAGCTGGCCGGCTCCAAGGTTCAGGTGAGCACCTAGATGAAAAAAGCAGTGCGGATGTAGCCCCACTGCAAGGGTTAATAAAAGTTTTGCCTGGAGTTCTTAAAAATATAGGGCTGATTTTGCTGATCTGGATTTGAAATTTCAATTTTCCTGGTTGTCATGTTGACCTTCTGGCATTATTGCTCTGGTTAGCAATGACAGCTAAAGTCAGGTGCTGACAGACTCTAACAGTCTAGTGGCTACTAACTGCCTTCAAGCCCTGATGAAGAGGGCTCCCTGTGACCCCAGTAACGCATTGGCTTTGCGGTAGTGTTTTCAGAATAAGATTTTATTTCATTTTAAAACACACATATAAGACAATCCTTCATAAATCATAAAAAGAAAAACAAAGGTAACACACAACATACTAAATTATTATCAGGGTTATTCACAAAAGGGTGAAGAGTTTGGAGAAGACAGGAGAAGTGAACAATCTAGGACAACATAGCTGAACTGGAAAGTGAGCTGAATTGGAAAATGTATCCTGATCAGCTATGTTGTCCTAGATTGGTTACTTCTCCTGCCCTCTCCAAACTCTTCACCCTTCAGTGAATAACCCTGTATATCTTTCTAATACAACAATGCAAACCCCTCTGACAGTCCGGGTAAGGTATGGCTGATGGTAAATCCAAATGTCTTGCATATCAACTGAATAAAATATTTTGTGGTCGTGTTTTACTTCAACATGGAATAAATCTGTATCTGGGAGTTTAATTATCATGTCACGTTTCAATCTCAGATTATCTCAGTTACAGACCAAGAAGAAGGTGGAAATCCTATGGGGTGGGGAAGGTGTTAACCCCAAGAATACAGATATCTTGGCTTATTACTTCCATACCATCCATAACAATACAATGCCTGGAAGGTTCCAGAACTGCCCCATTTTTTGCAGTTAAATGTCAACATTTTCAATGAAATGAAATCTGAGCTGAAAGAAATACGGGGCCGAATTTGCTGGTCTCTTCTGGAAAAGACAGTTGCCTGGTTGTCATGTTGACCTTCTGCCAATATTTCTTCGGTTAGCAATGGCAGCCAACATATTGCTTTCATTTTAACAGGGTTTCTTTAAGGGCTTGTTCACACCAAATGCAGACCAGATCTGCATGAGTTTCTGCACACACAGTACAGTGTGTTATACTGCGTTTTTGATGCGTTCCGTTTCTAGTTTAATATGGGCTTTCAGTGCGTTCCAGGGCGCTTGCATGCGTTTTTGATGCGTTCCAGAGCAGGTAAAATAGGGTATGCTGCCATTTTTTTTACATGCTCTGGAATTGAACGCTGCGTTGTGAACTAGAGCTCAAAATACCATTGGAATACACTGGACGCAGTTTTGATCCGGGCTGTAACTGCTCCGCTCCTGGAACTCGCTTGGTGTGAACTAGTCCTAAATCTGTTATCAAAGTCAATAAATCAAGTAACCCCCATTTGATCTATATGCATCGGCTAAGCAGCAATAACATATTTTTGTCCTTGTCTGCAGGTGCTCACAAACCCAGCCATTCCATGTGCGTCACTCCACAGAGCAGGCGAGCATCACACAGCAATCCCTCTACGTAAAGTGGCAAGCAAATGCATTCTGCTTTATTCAGAGAAATGTTTTGCATGACAAGGAGAATATTGTAATAAAGCATAACATGTGACACACTAAAATGAAAACCAGAAGGACATCATAATAATAAAATACATTTAAAATAAATTAAAAACATAAAATACATAAAATGATCAGTACATAGGTCTTAGAAACATGTTGAAGCATGGCTTAAAGGGGACAGTCACTGTAATTGTATACATTTTTGGCTTTCACTTTTTTATTTGATCTATGTATTAGGACATTATTGGAGTATTTCCTACACACAACACTAACTACACAGCAGAAGGTCTTGCTCTATGACTTCCCTACCTTGTGGAGTAAGCAGGGGCAAGGTTTTTGTCCTTCTTCTCAGCAGTGCAGTCAGACATTCCTATACTTTTAGTAAACCACAGGGTTTTATTTAACGGTTACTTGCTGCCCTGTTTTCTTTTAAAGCTGAAGTGCAGACAAACAGCCATATCAAATCTGTCAAAGGATTTGAAGTTCGGTTCTGTCAGTCTTGTGGACCCCGCAAACCTTCCAGATAACTCACGCAGATCTTGGACCCCTCTGATGACTGCATATGAAAAGGATCTTTACTTTGTCCATAGGTACAGTAAACCAATATACTTTACGCATCACAGTAAGCATAATGGAGAGATTTTTTCTAAACAGGTAGCAAACAGAATCTGGAGCAGTTGCCTACAGATCACCAATCAGCAAATCTCTTTAGTTTGTTCAGTTATGCTTTGAAAATGAACTGTAGAAGCTGATTGGTTGACATGGGCAACTGCTCCAGATTCTGTCTGTTCCAGTGTTGATAAATTCCCCTCAATGTACTTACCTTCCTTGTACTTCTTTGCTTTCCCAATCTGCCGCCAGAGCCTCCAAAGGTTTCCTGTGTAAGTTCTGTAATGTCGAGAAACTCAAAACTTCCACATGACTATGCATTGTCCCCTTGTCTGCAAATGACAGTATTCGGGCCTGGTGATTGGCCGGTCAGACACAGGTCATTGCAGGGTAGGGAGAGTGTAGGAAGAAATTCCATGTGTGCCCCATACCACAAATTACTGGGTAGCTCTAGTTTTGGATCAGGGTTACACGGGAAACTTCAGGTACTTATTCTACTTCTATACAAAATACAATTCATTGCTAAATTTTTGAGCACGATATGTTTTTTCTTGGTTCTCACCGATACTGATACCGGACGTCCCATTAAGGAAGCCAGGCGGCATGTAATGACTCGCCACCTGGCTTCCTGATTAGCCGGAAAGCCAGGTGGCATGTAAAGACTCGCCACCCGGCTTCCCGATTAGCAGGCAAGCCGTTTCCATGCTTCTCGTCACCAGGTGGAGGCGACTAGGTGAAGACAAAAGCATGGAGATGGATTTCTGGCCAATCAGGAAGACGGGCGCCCGGCTTCCTGATTGGCCGGGAAGCCAGCTCCATGCTCCCTTGTCCCGCATTAAGCCAGTTTCCGGCCAATTAGAAAGCCGGGCGTTGCGTCATTACCCGCTGCCTGGCTTCATGATACCGGAAGCTGAAGTATTGGGCTAGGTATCGGAGCATTTGAGCGAGTACGAGCCCAAATACTCGGCATCTGCACCGATACTAGTATCGGTATTGGTGCATCCGTAACACACATATACACACATCAGGAATAACATAACTAAACCCTATCATCTATAACAATCAATGTGGTAGATAGTTTTATCCTAAATGATAAAGTCCAGCTTTACTCTACCTTACTTAAGCTAGCAATGTCACCTGTTCCAGGACTGCTAGAATATTTTACATTATGTGTTTGTTTTAATGAAAAATGGGATTGATATTTTAAATCCATGTGGTTGTTTCAATTACCAGATAAGAAGAGAACATGAAAAATCTCAAAAAAAAAAAACATCACACAGATGCCATGTGTTAAGTCTCCAAATTGGAACATAACAGGGGAGGTTTTAATTAAACTATATGAGCTATAATTTTGATAATCAACTATAATGTTCTGTTCATTTTTTTTTTTTTTTTACTGGTGGTGTCCCTTTATAGGCTCAAAATTGAGAAAGCCCTTCTTCCCTAAGCAGAATAGTGTGACAATGGTCCTACTCTGTTGAACACATACCATTTTGACCAATTAGAGCTGCCAGGAGCATTAAGCACGTGTCCGCTTTTGTATCTTGTATGAGTTGACTTTAAAAAAAAATAAAATAAAGTTCTTAAGATGAAGAAAGTTAATAAAAGCTGTATAGCATGTACATGTTATATAGCTGGGGAGATGCAGGAAAAGCGCCACTAGCTAGTGCTAAGGGTGTTCCCTTTAAAACATGGATTACTGGTTTAGAATTGTCCCTAGTTACAATATTTATTAGGTAATATAACAAGTCTATGTACACCTTTGACAGTGGTAATACAAATGAAAATAAAAGAACTTGTCTGAGCTGGCAGAGCAAGCTGATCTACAGATGGAGATTCATTGGTTTTTTAACCCCAGACTTCATTGTACAGCCAAGCAATATTTTACAGCACCAATAATGAATATGCTTGCCTTGTATTTTTTGTTGACGCGATATGTAACATCACCAAGTCAATATCACACCCTTGTGTGTAAATGTTTAGAACCAAAACAAGAAAGCTCATACAAGTCATAGTGCAATGTTAAGAAATATTGATATTGCAGTTTGCAGAATGGAGAGAATTGAGGCCACGGTCATCTGCCTGCTGGGATAGTTTTTCCCGGAGGACTCCACGGGGGCGGGGGGTCATCATCTAAAATAACTTTCAGCTTTCTCTGCTTTTCAATCTTTTCCTGCTGCTCTTTTTTCTCCTGTTAGAGTACATCAGTAAACAGTTATTGCGTTGTAAAGAATTATTTCTTGTTGAAGCTGATCTGTTGTCACCTCAGAAAGATTTTATTTATACTTTTATTGCCCAATCAAGTAGTAAAATGGATTTGTTACTTGTGAATTCCAAGGCTTTGTATATGAAATCACTTTGGGTTTAACCGGTTGACAGATCTTGACTACTGTATGTATAAATCACTGAACGTTAGAGCAGCGTCCCTGTGTGTCATCCACAGAAACAGCACATTTTGAAGTCATTGGGGCCAGTGGGCATTGCTGGATGGGTGGAGCATGATTTGCTGAACCCATCCCCAATACCAGTGCCTTTAGTACAATTTTGCAGTTAAGCAGGCTGCCGGGAGAAAACTCTTAAGGTGCCCATACACCTTACAATAATTTTTCTGTGGTCAGATGGAAAAAGTGCAACAGATTGCCCCAGGTGGAGATTCCTCCATCCACATAGTTAAGTGGAGATGGAGGAATCTGTTGCACCTTTTCCATCTGACCACAGAAAATCTGCAGATAATTGTAAGGTGAATGGCCAGCTTTAAGCAGAAATTATTGTCAAAAAGATAAATAATTAACATGGCATGACAAAAAAAAAACACTGGTGCAGCTTCATTACATGGAATTTTCTACATGGCACAGTTCATATGTTAAAGATTTTTTTATAACATTTTTTAAATGTAAATACTATCTGGACTACAACTTTGTAGGGGTCACAATAACCTTAACAGAGATAAAGTGGTGCTTACTGTGAATATGGTTATGTAACAGACATTGTATCAAAGGGAATGTGCAGTGGTTTCATAAATCATTTCTTATTTTTTAATTACAGTCAGGACTAAAAGAATAACTTTAAGAATATTTTCCTTATTTTCAGTCAGATAGTAATGAAATATTTAGCTAACAATAGTGCTCTGAGAATCCTTTGCTGTGTATTAACTGTTTATTTGCAGTACACAATTTGTATGTAGATAGTAAAAACAGATGTCTGAAAAATATAGACTTAAAGGAGAACTATGGGGTTAAGTCTTTTCTCCATAGTTCTCCTTAGGGCAACGGGAGGACACAAACTAGCGTCCTCCCGTCGCCCTAGGCTCAGAATACCGCGAGCTGTAGCGCGGTATACTGAGACGCTGCAGCTGAAGCGGATCCCGACAATTGTGCCGGGATCTGCCCAGCTTTGTCACTGACAGCTGGCTCTGCCTATCTAAAGGCAGAGCCAGCTGTATCCCGCCCCTGGAGTGGGGAGGGGGGAATCCAGCAGAGAGCCGTGAGCCTCCCGATCTACTGAGCCGACCTGTGACAGTCTCATTGTCACAGGTCGGCTAGAACTCCTTTAAAAAAATAAATAATTGACAGGGAGATATCATGAACCAAGGTTATATAAACCATACGGTCAAAAGTTTGTGGATATCCTTCCAAATGACTGAGTTTAGGTGTTTCCATTGCCACAATAAATGCTACAGCATGCAAAGACATTTTGGACAATTGTTCACTTCCAACCTTGTGCCAACAGTTTGGTGGAGGCCTTTTTCTGTTCCAGAATGGCTGTGCACCTGTGCAAATGGCCAGGTCAATAAAGACTTGGTTTAACTTCCGTTCACCGATCTCTATTGTCAATAAATAGTAAAATTAAAAAGGAAAGATTTAAAAAAAAAAAAAAAAGAAAAAAACCCAAAATTAAAAAAACAAAAAACAATTGGGCAGACCTAGCAGTGACAGCTAGCTCTGCCCAACTGTTTCCTATTGACCAGCACCTGCTACAGTCTTCTAGCAGGTCCCGGTCAATGAATAATAACTTTCGGCCGCCCAGTTCTTATTGTTTAATGACAAATCAGCATCTCCAGGTCATTTGGGGATGCTGATCTTTCATTACAACTGGGCGGAGACAGCCATGAAATCACGGCTGGCTCCGTCCAGCTGTCATTTGTGGGGATTATGGCCGGCAGGAGGTCGAGCCAAAGTATATGCCTTCGGCTCGGCCGCCTTCGGCTGCTGCAGGGCTATAGTGATATATTGACCTGAAGGGCTCCGGCAGCCGAAGAGAGCCGAAGGAACAGCCGAAGCTACGTGAATAACCCCCTAAGTGTTGCGAAGGGTGAGGGGCGCAATGCTGAAAAAATGCATGTAGTTTCAGTTCCACTTTAAGCACTTGATAAATGAAAAAAACCACTATCGCAAAATGAAAAACATCAGGTTTTACTGGCATACTACTTACCAGCCATTGCTCATATAGTTCTAAAGCTCTTTGCTCCTTTTCATTTTTCTCAGATTTTACTTTCTCCAGTTTTAGTTTCTCATACTTTTTTTCCTTTTTCTTTTCCTTCAGCACAAGTTCTTTTCTTTCATTCCTACATTTAAGCACATTAGCAAAGTTGTCATCAAACATCCTTCTAGAATCTTGCATGAAAATGACTACATTAATACAAATGCTGCTGTAACATTCATATTAAGGCACATGGGTGTTCATTTAAAAGAGGTTAAAGCAGAACACCAGTTGAAGAAAAAAATGAATAGGTCAAAAAAAGATCATCTTAAAAATAGGGATGCACCGATACTTGTATCGGTATCGTTGCCGATACAGAGTATTTGGGCGAGTACTCGTATTTGCCCAAATGCTCCGATGCCTAGGCCAATACCCGAACTTCCAGGATCAGGAAGCAGGGCAGCAAGTCATTACACGCTGCCCGGCTTCCTGATTGGCCAGGAAGCCAGCTGCATGCTCCCTCGTCACTTGGTAACGAGGGAGCACGGAGCTGGCCAATCAGGAAGCCGGCACGTGTAATGACTTGCTGCCCAGTTTCCTGATTGTTCTGGAAGATGGCCAATAAGGAAGCCGGACGGCGAGTCATTACCTGTCCCCGGCTCCCTGATTGGGAATTGCCCTGAAATTCTGCTCCATTTTTCCTCGTTACCTGGTGACCGTTTCCCTGCTAATTGGGAAGCCGGGTTTGCGAGTCTTTACATGTCGCCTGGCTTCTTTAATGAGATTTCCGGTATCGTTATTCGGTATTGGCAAGTACCAGAAAAAATATTGGTACTCGATACCAAAAAAACGGTATCGGTGCATCCCTATTTAAAAGTTGTCTTTAGGCTGCAATACTCACTTTTAACCTGGAGCTGTTCACTGCAGTACTTCTTTTCTGGCAATTGATGTCATTAGTCTTATGGGCTGAATGACTGAGTGTGCAAGGAGGAAAGGGCCAAAAGCAGAACATATAAAATCCAGATTTAATTTGATTCAGATTCTTACATCATAAAAAGTCAATGCGTTTTGGAGATTCAAAAGGGCCACAAACAACACACAAAAGATTATGATGAGTATAAAGTATTGACTGGTGTGTAAGTGGAGAAGGATACCAAGAGTAATTATGTACCAACATACCATGAAGTATTAGGAAGTCCAGTACAGGTTAGGAATATGGGAAGAAGATATACAAAAATGATAGCTATACAATTATTTACATTTGTTTTGTTTGTTTTTGCTTGTTTACATTCCAGGGCTTCAAATGTTGCTTTTTATGATATAAGAATCTGAATAAAGTTATATGAACTTTAAGCATTCTGCTTTTGGTGCTTTTCTCCTTGCACACCCAGTCCCCACTCCAGAAAAAAAGCTGACCTTCGGCCACCGCTGAAGAAACCAACAATCATTCCCTGCTTAAAGAAGAACTCTGAGCATAGAAAAACGCAACCCTTGCAGTGGGGCAGGCCAGCCTACTGAAGCCTTGGATAACAATCCGAAGCACCATGCAGGCAGGCTGTGTCCCCTGTGCCTATTAAAATGTTAGCTTTTCATGCTTGACTGGAGTATGAAGTGTCAAAATATTTTGGAATTTAAACATGAGATAAAGACTCTTGACAAGGTTAAAGATTCTAGATCCCTCAACTCTATACACCAGACCTGATGCTAAAACATGGAAAAGACACATCTATGTACTATATCTTATTTCCTAGTAAGTGGTCATCGTATAGTAAGTAAGTACTCTTACCATGTTGTAAAAGCAGTCATGTTGTTGCTTTTTTTCTCCGTGATCATTTTTTGCTCATTCTGTTTTTTTTCTATTTCAAGATCCTTTACTTTAAGAGCTTTTTCTTTTAAATGATCTTCCTTTGATGCTTTCCACTTTTCAAAAGCCTAAAAAAACACATTGTCAGTGTTAATTACAAGGCTGGCATAGTCTGGTTGATAGCTTCAACTTGGTAGATACAAAGCAGGAGTAGAGGAAACTTTACTTGAATGAGAATAGAAGTTGCTAACCTCCATGAAGGTATTCACGAAGCATTGAGTACAATAATCACATTCCTACTTATCTATTGACTTATCAGTCTGTATATAGTGTATATACAGTATATGCACAGATTAATCGTACTCATTATTGGGGGCTGCATTACCAGTGCTGAATAAGCACCCTTACAGAGTAAATGGGTAACTGGATTGAGGTGCGCTGGATATAAAGAAACCCTAAATTGGGTCCCCTTGCACATAGAACTCACAGTGCATTACTATGGCAATAGCCAGCATTACTGTCTGTATGAGTGGGGTGTAGGGAAGAATGCCCATACTGTTACAGAGATAATAATAATCCTATGTGTTATCAATAAACATAAACTAGCCTATTTAAAAAAAAACACTATAATCCTGGTACCTTTCTGCAATCCTCTTTCTTGCATGCACTATCTTGAATTTCTTCCATATTTTTCTTTTCTTCCAGTTTTTGCTTCACTCGAATGTCTTTAATTTCCTTTTTCTTTTCTGATTTCCAGGCCATGAAAGCAGCCATGGCCTCCTCCTTCTTCATGGCATTCTGCTGCAGATACAACTGTTTAAGTATTTGTGGTTCAGAGTAACAGCTGCATAACTGACCCTCTACCATTCAACACACATTGCTGTGGGATATTCAGTTCACAACATTTCAACTAAACAGATTCTACCTGTTCATGTTGCCTTCTTGGCTTTCCTCTATAGCCAAATATAACGGGATGGCTAATGTATCAGAAAGTCAATATAACCAATGTCATGCAAATTACAATACACGCAGGAGATGATTGTCAAAGAAAAATAATTACTTTAAAAGGATTTTCAGCCTTGGATCAAATGCACTAACTGTGTTTATTTTCATCCATTTCAAAGAGAGCCCTCCATTTTCCACTCCAGCCCTCCCCACACATATATTAAAGGCTGCTACTGTATCTTCCATAGTGAAGGATTCCTATTTGTCCAAGTATTCATCCTTTGAATTCAAATAGTACTCAAGAAACATAGGGGTGCACCAATACATAATGCAATGATATATAAGCCTTATATATTCACATCACCAAGAAAAGGATAACACCTTAGTATTGCAAGGTGGACATTTTATATAAAGTCATATATGACATTTGCAACTAAAATTGGACTGTTAGCTTTCTCCTACAACAAGCATCCAGGTTTAACCTGGTTACAGATTCATACAGAAAAAATAACACATCTATAAATAGTAATTTAATATTATCCTGAATTTTTAGAGCTCCATCAAATTATTTAGTGTATCACAATAAGGTTCTTATAATTTTCATTACATTAAAGAGGTAAGTGGGCCCTACTATTTGGGTCCCACTCATAATTCTGCATTTAAAAAACTCATGAGTTTTACGGCCATTTTCATATTTTTGCAAATGCAAAACACATGAAGTTCTATAAAAAGATGTGCAAATATGTGCCCACACACATCAACACAAGCAGTAGTCAAATGTAAAGGTGCGAATCAGGCCTAGTGAGATTATACTTCAATAAGAAAACATCTAAACATCTTAAGGGGGTTGGACAAGCCATACTGTCCTAGGCAAATTTACCAATTTTAATTTTTCTTTCTCTTCTTCGGCTTCAGCCTTTTTATTTTTATGCACTTCATGAAGAAACACTTTCTTCTTTTCCAACCAGTTCTGTAATAAAAATAATACAGCTGAATTTAATAGAAGCATTCCACAAAAAAATCAGCCAGTTGTTGCTAAATAGTAATCAATTGTTTTCTAGGGGTTACAAATGCAATGTAGCAAAATAAAAAGTGAATTAGTAACTCCATAAAACGATCACCTTAATTGAACCACATTCAAAATTTTTGCCTGTAGAAATTGCTAACAAACAAAACACACAATATTCTGAGAAAACCACTTTGTGGAAATATGTTGCTTAGGCAATCGGTGAATGTGCGGTACCAATTAGAGCAGTGGTTCTCAACCTGTGTAACCTCAAGACCCACATTTTGTCATTGCTCATTAAGTCGTGACCCAAGTTGCACTGCAATGGAATGCAGTGTGGGCTAATGAGCTGTGACGGAGCTCCGTCCATATGTGCATCCACTTGTACAGCTTCCTTGCGTGCCCTGTACAGGTGCCAGGAGCCAGATTGTGATGTCACTCCAGTCCAGGCACCTCTACAGGACAGGGAAGGGAGCTGTAAGCAATGCAAGTATGGATGGAGCTCCCTCACGGCCATACCCCCAGCCCACCTCAAGCTGACACTCAGCACCGGGCAGCATATTTTGAATGGCTGCTTGGCGCGAGAACTGACAGTGCTGCACTAGGGGTAGGCTGAGGAACCTCTCACCTAGAAAAGTGGAAGACACACGGGGACCCACTGAGCACGGGGTCGCGAACCCACTTTTGGGTCACGACCCACCAGTTGAGAACCAATGAATTAGAGTAGTATTATTATTTGGTTCATCTTAGAGTATTGCAATAAAATTTCAGTACAGGAATGAAAACTGTAAAGCGGAAGCAGATTATTTATCCATTATAGGGTGCTTTGCACAAGCATTTATGCCACCACCTGACATTAAAGTGAATCTACAGTATACCCAAAACCTTTTTTTTTTTTTTTATAGAATGAGGAATTATTAGAACCCCTGTCAGGTTTTACTGCTCTCCATTAGAAAGATGTTTGCCTCACTTCCTGTTCTGAGGACAACCTTTTACCAGACAGAAAGTTAGAGGAAATCTGCAACAGAGAAACAAGTAATGATAAAAAGCTGACAGAGGTTCTGGCATTCCTCTACTTTACTTCAAAAAATTTTTTCACTTCCATTCGTGTTGCTGCTAGAGAGATTTCCCCTCACTTCCTGCCCTGGGGACAACTTTTTTTTTTTACCAGACAAGGATTAAAAGGAATCTCTCTAAAATAGCCTCCAGCTGTAGTCAAACCTGACAGGAGTTCTAATTCTTCCCCTCTCGGTCCAAAACTAAAAGAAAAGTTTTTGGTATAGATACACTTCAAACAAGATTGGGATATCATATTTACATTAGTGCGGGTGTCTGTGCTCGGACGCCGACAGGACCCATCCTGTCTGTGTACTAGTACGGACACCCGCACCCGCATGGGTGTGCAGTTAGGGTGAGTGTACGGCCGTGTACTCCCATAGAGAAGAACAGGCTGCTGCAAACAAAACACACGCAGCACCTCTCCTTCCCAGGAGTGGCCCGATACGGCCGTGCATGCCGCACGGATCTGTATAGGCTGACAGTTAGCTGTGTAAATGAGGCCTTATTGTCTTTCTCTTGTATAGTCTTTACGGAATGAACAAAGATTTCCTCTAGAATTGCCCTATAAGTGGATTCACCTATCTTGTCCTCACTTCTGACTAGTTTGTCAAACTTTTTTTTTAAAAGCTTCCTGGTCTTCGTGCTATGTGTTAAGATGTAACACTATATACTTGATTTATTAAAGCCAAATAAACTGTTTATTTTACAAGGGTATTTTCACTTAGCTTGGTGTATGTGGTAAAAAATTACTTTTCAAAGAATACCCAATTATGTGTAAGAAGAAAATAAAACTATATTTCTGAATGCACAAGATTGGGCGATGGATGTCAGTAGAGCTTCACCTCATTCACTAAGCTAAGTGAAAATTCCCTTGCAAAGTGAACTGCCTATGTGCCATTAGAAAATCAACCCCTTTAACTGCACACAGATGAACTCAGTGTAACTACCCAGGTGACTACATTAGTAGTGTCAAAGCAAAGGGGGTAAAAACGTTTCAGTTTTTGCATTTCCTAATGATTTGGAAAACCATGCACAAAAAGCAGGGGCCAGATTTCCTGTGTTATTTTTCCAGTGTAGATTGCTATTTGATGTCTGTATATTTGCAGAGACCATGGGTTAATTAACTAAAGACAACTAGGCTGTTTACTATGTCAACGCATCACGTGCAAGGAAAATAAAATAACAATTTTTATTTTTTTTGGGTTGCACAAGATTGGGTGATGGAAGTCAGCAAAGCGTCACCTCATTCACTAAGCAATTCACTAAGGAAAACTTTCCCTGCAAAGTGCAAATTCTCTTGCCAAATGAACAGCCTATTTGCCTTTAGTAAATCATGTCCCTAGTGTCACATGATCTTAAAATAACCCTACTCCTGGATTTTCTCAAAGTTTATAAATAAGCTCACCATTTATTAACTTTGAGAAAATCCAGGAGTATTCATTATGCTGAATTCGTCTGCGTTCATTAGCAACACGAATATTAGAGAGGGTGAATGAAGATGAACACAAATTAATGTTTTGTGTGAATCTTTACCTTATATGAATTGATACTAACACAAACAAGAAAATGCTTTGAAAGAGCGGTGCTGGTCTCTAGGCTTGTTAGATTTGTTTAGTTCCAAATCAAAATTCGGACACATCCGAATTTCTGAATCCCAATGCATCCGAATGTGTCGGAATCTGAATTTCGGTTTACGAATTTCGGATCGTGTCCGAATTTCATTCAAAAAGGAATCTGAATCGGACATGTGACATTTCTGGTCAATCAGATGTGTTTTTCGGTTTAATGCATTCGAATGGGTCTGAACACGAATTACGACAACATGGGAGCCACCTATTTGGCCAGATGCCGCAACGCAAATTTGTGTTCAGTATATACATATAATACTAAAGCTGAGGCTTCTAGACCCGAATGGCATTCGGGATCTGAATTTCTGGATGCAATTCGAATTAGTAATATATGCATATGGCTCCCAGACCCGAATGGCATTCGGGAGCTCCCGAATGCAATTCAGAAATTCAGATCCCAAATGCCATTCGGGTCTAGGAGTCTCGGGTCTAGGCTTTAGTATTAATATCTGTATATGGTTTTCTGTTTTGCTTGCAACAAATATTCAAAAAAACTCATCCGAAACTAACGAATTTTGGATTTAGTCCGAATCCAAAACCCAAACCGAATTGGTTTTCGGATCCGAATCCCGAAATAACAAAATATCCGAATCAAACCGAATTTTTACGCACCTTACATGTCTACTGATCTCCACCAGAAATCTTTGAGTTCAGGGTGCTGAATGTAGGATTCACTACTTGATAAATATGTCACTAAGACCAATGGTTTCTACAATTATCTCTTGGGAATAAAAACAATCTTCTCTATAAATTACCATGGAAGAGTAGGAACAAAGCGTAAATACTGCTGGAAGTGTAGCCTTGGAGGTAGTTTAAAAGGATGAGCTATGGTGGAACTCCAGCCAGAGCGTTTTTCCCCCCAGTGACTAACCCTTCTCTACTCTACTAAAAAAGTGTTATTACTGCCCAGTGGCACCGCTACAGGGGGGCAAGGGAGGGCAATTACCACCCCTAGGTTATCACTTGCCCCCTGTGTCCCCCCCGCTAACAGTGGCAGCAGTCCCGGCGCTAGCGCAAGGCAAGAGAAATGGAATCCTTTTCCCAGCAGATAACTGTGTCCGGGACAGTTATCACACAGTTATCTGCTGGGACAGGGGTTCTCCCTGCTGCAGCCTCACAGACTGTCAACGGCTTCTCCCTACAGGCTGTAGTGATCTGTGTCAGTGGGGACAGATTGTCGATTACAGCCTGTAAGGAGAGCCCTCCGACAGTCTCGCGACTCTCCGCGCCGTATGTGATCGTCTTCATTCCAGCAGCTGACCGCAATAGCCAGCCTGCTATTGGCTCTTTAAAATTGCAGTAACCAATAACAGGCTGGCTATTGCACCCGCCCACTGTCAGCTGTTAATCAACAGAGGTGGACCTGATAGAAAACTTTAGGTCCCTCCTCTGCTGATTGACAGTCAGGCAGTGGGTGGGTGCAGTAGCCAGCCTGTTATTGGCTATTGCAATTTGAAATATCCAATAGCAGGCTGGCTATTGCTCTCAGCAATGAAGTAAAAAAATAAAAGAAAAGTTTAAAAAAATAAAATAAACTAAGATTAAAAAAAAATAAAGTTAAATTAATAAGAAGTAAAAAAATATGTTAAAAAAATTAAGTTTAATACAAAAATACAAAAAAAGTTTTAAAAAAATAAACAGTTGTGGTATTCAGGATTGCGGGCGGCGTTGGACTACATGTCGGAACCGCAGGGCGCAGATGCCATCCGCAATTAAATCAGCTCTCGGCGCCCTGCGGTTGCGACATGCAATTAAAATTATTAGTGCGCCCCCAGATTTGACTGTGGTATCTTATGTGCCCCCCCTATATATTGTTCCTAGAGTCGCCACTGTTACTGCCTGTGCCAAAATGGAAGCCATTTTGCTGTAATTTCTGTCTTGGTCACCACTGTCGATGGGACATGAAGTAATTGAACTTGGTCCTAGCGAGGAGGACAGACACAGCAATGAAGCAGAGGTTCTTAAGGTGCCCATACACAGGCCGAATTTCGGCCACTTTTTAATGTACCGGCTGAAATTCGCACAGTGTGTGGGGCTGTTGGCTCCCTTTCAGTCGGCATTCCTTGATCAGCTGATCAAAGGAGCCTGCAGGAAAATCTTCATGCAATCCGAGCCGGCAGCCAATGAGCTGCCCACTCTGATCGGGTATACAATGCAAACAGCTGTGATTCCTCGATCGACACGCTGTTTGTGTTGATGGAGGAAACGCATCCATTTTTTTTGTTCAGCCCGCCTTACCCATTCCCTACTGGATTACCACTTTCGAAGTATAGCTAA